GTCAGTAATAAGTTGGGATGACAGGATTTGAACCCATGACATTTTGAAAATGCAAAATCTAAAAATAACCAAACAAAAATAAAAGAAATTCAAGTTTATGTAAAATGCGTGGGTCAGAAATAAAATAAATAATTAACAGTAAATTAAACGGTTTTAATATGTTATTTTAATTAAAAAAACGATACAATTTACTTGTAATCTTGAGTTTTAATAAATAATATGCATTAATAAACTTGAATAATTATTGTTGGATCCTATATGTATATATATTACATGCGACTACGATTTGGAAATAAGATGAAGAAATTAGTATCATTCAATGTAGAACAGGCCCCTGATCATGATCATGAGAAATTAAGTAGAGACAGAAATGCACCACGAAAAGTCAACAGTTGAATATATATATATATATATATATATATATATATATATATATATAAACCCAACTCCATATACATTAATTTTGGAGATGATATATGGAAAAAACCAATCTTTATTATATATTAATGCTATTGCTATACTATACTATACTTTATTATTGTTATATATATGCATGAGACAAAAAAACAAGTGCTGTCTCACTCTCTTTCTCTCCCTCATCTTTTAGGTACACGAAAAGGAGACCTTTTTTACCTTTGAAGATCAAGACTAAAAATGGCCGCCATCAGCTACCATTAATTTTCTTACATTATTGAACACCCCTGTGGATCTTCTTCACTGAAGTAATCACACCTAATCACATAACAGGGCCTGTTTCGAGCGTATTGGTAACCATAACCATCGTAGCATGGACATGGACATGGACAAGGACATGGACATGGACATGGTGGAGGTGGTACAGGCCTTCCGTAGTTATATCCAAAATCGTAACATGGCCCTCCACTACGACCTTGGTAGCATTCTTCGCAACACGCTTGAATAGGAACAGGGTATACCGGTAGGCAAAATCCGGGCATGGGGTCTGGTATTGGAACTGGTTTGGGAGGATCCACTTTGGGTGGTGGATCAGCAGGTTTTGGAGGATCCACTTTGGGTGGGGGTGGTGGTGGATCTGCAGGTTTTGGAGGATCCGCTTTGGGTGGTGGTGGTGGTGGTGGATCTGCAGGCTTAGGCTTTTGAACGGGGGATGGGTTGGGGTCTGGTTTGGGCTTAGGCTTAGGCTTGGGTTTGTCCTCGACGATCTCAATGCTCTGGATGGCCTTTCCACCTTTGCAACAAAGTGTGTCCCTTAACTTGTCAGGGTTGCAGCATACGACGGTGATCCTGACCTCATTTCTGTCTTGATCAAACACTTGACCTCTGATTTCTACAAGAAAGGCAGGCAGATGGCAGATGGCAGATGGCAGATGGAAAAAGGAATGGTCATGTATAATTGATTTAGAAAGAAACCCAAATGGGAATAAGAGAGAGAGAGAGAGAGAGAGAGAAGGGAACTGACGAGGGAACTTGCAGAGCAGTTTCTTGACCTTCTTGTAGCAGCAGGAGCATTTGAGGTCAACATTCAAAATCATGACAGTAACCTGTTATACATAACAAAAAGAAAAAGAAAAGCAGTGAGTGTATATGTATAAATAATTCAGACAACAAGAAGAAGAAGAAAGAGAGAAAGAGCAATTGAAGAAACCTTGTCAGGAGCCATGATGAAGATCAAGTGAAGTGAAGAAGAAGAAGAAGAAGAGTTGTTGTTTTTTAGGAAACAAGAATGTAGTTAGGAAACAACATTAATAATGATGTAATGATGCTGATAACTAAAGAGTTGAGGAGGAGGGTATATATATATATATATATATATATATATATATATATATGAGGTTCTGTGATTGGTGTGTAATATAATAATGAAGGGATGGTACTATACTGGATGGATGGACCGATGCCAGCAGGTTGGTGTTGATGTACATTGAAAGCTTCTTCAATTCCTTTTGGGAATAATCATAATCTATACGGGATTTCCAAAAATATTAATTGAAAGTCGACTCCGTATAATTACAGATAAATTTACAAAAAGAATTTAATTCTGTAAATAGAAAACTTAACATTGTTATCACACGAATTGAAAAGTCTTATGGAAACCCTAATATTCTTGCAGAATTTATAGCCGGCCAATTAAAAAATCGAGTTTCTTTTCGCAAAGCAATGAAAAAGTTTCAATAATAAACAAAATAAAATCCTAAAAAATCTTTTGGTGAGGGATGAAGAAGATAAGAATAATGAAGAAGATGAGAATTGAAGAAGAATTCAAAGATTTTAAAAGGTATGTATAAATTATATTCATTACAAAATGTGTTTTGTTATTACATATTTCTTTTTCAATATTGTTGGATTTGTTGTTATCATATGATATGATTGTGTTTACGATTTGATCATATAAATTCAAATAAACTTTTTTCGAATTTAAGCTTCATTAACAATAATTATTTATACGTGATTGATAATTACGTTAAATTTTGACTACTTCAAGATTTTTTCAATTGACAGAAATCCTTTGGTRAGTAATGAARAAATAAGAGTTGAAGAAAACTTAAAARAWTTTAAAAGGTATGTAAAAATTATATTATTTACAAAATGTGATTTGTTATTACATATTTTTTCTTTTCAATATTGTTGAATTTGTTGTTATCGTCGGACATGATTGTGTTTACGATTGAATCATATAAATTCGAATAATGTTTTGATATTTTATGATTACAAGATATTATAAAAAAACGAATTTAAACTCCGTTCACAATAATTGTATATATATATAGAGAGAGAGAGAGATAGAGAGAAATGTTGGTTATTATACAACCCTTGACATTTGTGCAACCAATACAACCCAATCTCAACCGTCTATTTCATTTGATTAATATGTGATTTCATAGAAGTTTAAATTCAAATGTGACAGGTTGTATTTGAAACAAACAATTATTGTGAACGGAGTTTAAATTTGTTTCAAATACAACCCGTCGCATTTGTACAACCAATGCAACACAATAAATTGAGATATTTATGGAAATGATGAAAGTTCATTTATTATGATTTGAATATTTTTGGAAGATGAATATGGTTCATTAATTATGATCGATACTTTATATTAGGAAACAATCAAAATTTCTATGAATTCATATATTAATCAAATGAAATGGACGGCTGAGATTAGGTTGTATTGGTTGCACAAATGTCAAGGGTTGTATAATAACCAACTCTCTCTCTCTCTCTCTCTCTCTCTCTCTCTCTCTCTATATATATATATATATATAAAGGAGAAGCCAAATACAAATAGATGCCTTTCTCTAAATATTAAAAAACTTATCTTTTTTTCCTAGATTTTTGATTTTTTAAAAATATTTAATATGTAAAAAACTTTTTCATCCTTATTTTTAAAACATGAAATTCATTAAAATAGGGTTGTTTTGGTAATTTTAAAAAGTTTAACCTCCAACTTTTTCCTCTTCATTCTTGGAGATGAAACATTTAAACACTTTCATGTGCTCATCAATGATTTGTCAATGTTTTTTATAATATTAAATAAGTTATATTATTCTACCCCAAAATGATAAATATGTATTCCATTATAAGAAGACTTATTTGATCACTTCCAACTTAATTAGCTTTAACATTCACATTACATAACTTCATAGGGATATTCTTTATATTATTTTCATCTTTTCATCTACTAATCAAAATAAACTTACAATAAATGTTGTGGTACATTGTCATAAGATGATTTTTGAAAGAGATTTTTTCATTGTTTTTAATTTATGAAATGTTAAATAAATTAAATATTTTCTTATTCGTGAATGAAAAATGTGTATTTCATTATTTTCTCCAAAATGAAAACAAAATTTTTCAAGTCAGAGATGTCCTTAATTGAGCATTTGACATCATTATTTTATAAAAATCTAAAAGTAACATATGAAGTTTCTTATGTGACACTTTGTGGAAAAGTTATTTCATAATTCATTTTTTTTTCAAATTT